AGGCTCCAACCGCGGAGGCCTTTGCAATCACAGCCACAGCCTGGATCCCAGGAACCCTCGCCAAGTTAAGGGACAGGAGGGGCCCTGAGGAAGTCACCGAGTCCAATCCCACGCCTTGTTAGTTCCCAAAGGAGTCTGGGTCTGGCTGGCTGGCCTTTACGGTGACCTCCTTGCCCAGAGACCACTCTGGGCAATGCCAGAGCCAAATGTAAAATGGCCACAGGGCCAGGGCCTCAAGAGATTTAAGCCAAAAGGGCGAACCATGTGTCCTAAAACAACCGGATTGCTGCTTAACTGGAATTTCCAGGTGGACACGGATTCAAGCAGAATCCGAGTCTCTGCTTCTTGTCAGAAGAGGCAGGGACACTGAGTAGGGAACAAGGTGTAGGAGGCACTGGGTAAGCGGGAGAAATCACCAGGTTTGACCTGACCACAGGATGACTGAGCAGAGGCCAGCTGAGCCCCCAAAGTCTGGAAGATCCCCAGGGTGGAATCCAGGGAAGGGCTGGGACAGCCTCGGCATTACCTGTTCTGTCATTCCCAACCCATAAATCAGCCTGGTCCCAGCCAGGGAATCCCTACCCTGCTGCTATCCACAGACGGTAATACCCGGCCATATGGCTGCTGATGCCTCATTACAGTCATCATGAAGCATCAAGTTAAAGATTACCCAGCAGAGCTAATGCGAGGCTTCAGAAATTAGAGGGACATTGTCACACAGTCAAATAAAACCAGAACTGGACAACTTTCCTATCAACTCTGGGTTTCTGAATAAAAGAAAGAAAACAGAAAAGAAGAAAAAGAGGGATGGAGAGAGAGAGGGACAGACTAAACGCACACACACGTTTTGGTTTCCCTAAATGACATCAGCACGGTTTAACTGTGCCTCCTCTGCCCAAATTGTGAGTTCCTACAGAGAAGGCATTTTGTCATCTTCCTCTCTGCAGCTCTGGCGCCAGGCACAGGGCTGGAAATGGATGGATGAAGTTACCAGACACCTCAGCCATCAAGGACACCCAGACAAGTTGCCACCATACAAGATCTTACGGACGGACCCACAGACATACCTAGCAGGGACCTTCCCAAACTCGAGGCCACATCAGGCGGCCCTGAGCCTCTGTACCAGGTGTTACTGGGCAACAGCCTCCAGGAAGAGCACTAGGCAGGCAGCAGGATACCTGGCCAGCTGGCCATTGCCTGGCTGTGTAGCCCGAGGCATGACCCCTCCCCTCCAGCACAATGAGGGATGGGGGCCCGGGGATGGGACAGTCCCATCCTGGAATGCTGCAGTTTGAGTCCAATCCCACATTCGGCTCTTGCTCCCCAGGCCCTGAGGAGATTCCATCTTGTTCATCAGGTGGAGGCTCCCATGCTGGCTCAGAGTCTGAGGCGAACTACAACAGGTAGGAATCACTTCTGCCACCATCAGGCTGAGTGGAAGAAAGCGAGTCAGAGAGTCATGGAGGATATTTCTCCATCTCAGACTGTTCAACAAGAAGGCATAAATTATTTTCTCCAGGAAAAGCAACAGGACAAAACTGGTTTAAAGGACTAGTTACCCAAACTCCCAAAGCTTAAAGATCTGGACACAGGGGAGGCTCCCTGGGCCTCGGCCAACCTCTGGGATGAGGCTCCAAGCCTCATCCCCAAAGGGGAGAGAGAGCCCTCTCCCAAGCTGAGGCCAGGACATGTGTGCTCAAAGTCCACTCTGTCCCGGACAGCCTGCTTGTGTCCACATGTGTGCACGTGGGGGCTGGGGGGAGGAGGAGGCCACGTGCTGGTGGAGAAACACCTGAGAGCAAGAGCCCAGCAGAGACCCAGCAAGTGTTTTTTCTGCCCAAGGGTGTAGACAGGGACAGAGGCTTGGCTGACAGCCCCCACAAAAGCCGGGGAATTGGCTCATGGACAAGTGCTCTCCCAGGGCCCTGGCTACCTGTGGCTGCTGTTTGCTGGCCCCGGTGCCCACGACTCTCTGGTGCCCACCTCTACATCAGAGGCCTCTTTTGAACAGATGAAGAGGCTCTCCTCAAAGTATAGCTGAGCAAGAGGGGCCTCTGGGGTCTAAGCAGGCCTGTGCTCACCACCCCCCACCCCATGCACCCTTGAGGGGACTGTACCAACCGTACCAGGCCCCAGTTAAGCCCCCAGGTCAGCCCTGCCTTCCCTGACCAGTCCAAGCTGAGGTACTGCCCGTCCCCCCACCCAGCCTCTCTCTGGGCTGGCGGTGCCAGCGCAAGTCAAGTCACACTGAGCTGCCGCCAAACGTGAGCAGAGATAAACATTCTGAGAAAAGAAACGCAAGGCAAGGTCACCCCTCCTCCCAGACTAACTACATCGCAGGCAAACACCAGGCAGCCAGAAAAGAGAGCCTCATGGCCGTGTCCAGTGGAGCGGAGGCTGCACAGACCCCCGAGGGCCAAGAGGACGGTGCCTGCAGGCCTGAACTTCCCAGGAGAACTCCCTGGGCACTTATAGGGATCCTCGGGAAAGGCCACCTTCCCCCCGCAGCCCTCACTCCCGAAGGCCTCCCACCAGCCTGTGGGGGGCCTGAGGCAGGGCCTATGATGGCTCCAAACCCTGCCACCTGCCCCACAGCACACAGATCGTGGAGACAGAGACCAGATTCAAACCCAAGTCTATGCGGAGTCCATCCCAAGGCTCGGACAGGCCAGGACAGATCAAACAGTGCCCCGTCGGCAGCCCAGCCTGGTGCCTGGCTCCTCTAGCGAAGGGCATGCCCGTTCCCCACCACCTGCCAGCCAGGAGGAATCACAGCATCTGGCCCAGACCACTGGACACCAGAAAGTAGAGCCGAGTCGTGGAAAGGAACTGTAAGTAGTGAAAAGGCCACCGCTCTAAACCCGTGGATGCTTTCTCCCAGCAACCTCAAAACCACCCTGCAAGGGCTCTGGTGACACCTGCCCAGCTGAACAGATGGGCTCGACTCCCCCAGCCCACAGACTCCCGGGGAGACTTTCAGCTTTCTCGAGGCCCCCTCCGGGCCAGGAGCCTCTCCTCCGAGAGCTGCAGTCAACCACTCAAACCTAAGGGCTCAAGAAAAATGAAGAAAAACCCTCGGCCCTCACTTTCTGGGGCTCCCTCAGCAGCAGCCTAAACGTCACGGTCCCATGCATGTCACACAAAGGCAGCCAAGCTAGAGAAGGCCCAGGGCCTCTCTCCTCGCCCTCCCAAACGTTCTCTCTCAGGAAGTCCTTTCATGCTGCAAATTCAGAGTCGGTTCTGAAACACACCAGCAACTGCTCACCGACCACTAGCAACACCATTACACCACCAACAAAGCACAAGTGGGTCACCACAGCCTCCCGTGCTTCGTCAAGAAGACCCTATACCTCAAACACCAATCTAATGAACTCTGGCGTACTTTTAATTTGCTAATTAATTTCTCTTCCTTACTGCACTATGTCCGGGCAACAATTAAAAACAAAAGAACAAAACCTGGCGTCTCTGGGGTCTGAGGACTCGCTCTTCCCCCTTCTCTCTGCAGTTCAGAGCCATCTCCACGGGAGTCTGAGAAAATGGAACTTCAAGTCCTATTTGCCACATACTTAACATACACAATCTCATTTAGTCCTAAAAATAACCCTGCGAGTTAAGCATCGACAACCCCATTTTCCACATGAGGAAGAGATTCTGAGAAACTCTATAACGTGCCTGAGGTCGGACACTTAGAGCAGGACAAAGACTTGACTTCATTTTATAGAACGAGTCTGCTTCTCAGACTAACCATCAAGTCCAAAGGAATTTGATTTTCTGCTTTAAAAAAAAGTCCCCCTTATGACCACAATTCATGTCTAACTCCAAGAGCTTCCTCCCAAACTTGATCTGAAAATATTGACGGAATTACCCGAGAAATTGAGCAAGAGTACGTAGGAGGCCTGGTCTGCCAGGGCTCTGAGTAAAAGGGACCGAGCTCCCACCAGCAGGATTGCCGGCCCTCCTGCCACGGCCTCTCACTGGGAACAACATTCTCTAAAGCCTGGCATTAAGTATGAGCAGCCACCTGTCAGGTAATCTTGGGAGCAACCTGTGGCTGCCTTGGGCCTGACACCCTGTGGATTATAGGTCACGGAGAGGTCTCGGCAGGGGCTCAGCCTCCTCCTGATGTAGGGAATGCAAACCCACCTACCCAAGCTCCCAGCATAACTGGTTACCGTTTAGACCTCCAGCCCCAAGGGTACAAACATTATACTCCTACAAACACCCTCAGCTTGGGAGGGCCTGCTTACTTAGGTTTGGGGAACCTACAAGGGCAGGAAGCAGGGGAGGAGGGCCCCAGGGCAGGGATCTACACAGAGGAGGAACTGAACACAACAGTGATAATTTATTGAAGGCTTACCCTCATTAATGTAAACCCTTGTTCACATTGTTTCATCTAATCTTCCAAAACAACTCGCTAAAAGAGACACCATTTATTATCCCCATTTAAGAGATGAGAAACCAGAGGGTTAGGGAGAAGTCATTTGCCCAAAAGCTCAGGAAGAAAGTTAACCCACACTCAGGACCGAGTGATTCTATGGGAAGACAAGAGCCGTGAACTGGGAGCTCAGCTCCCTTCCCCACTGGAGGCCTCACCATCAGTCCTCCAAACCGGAGCGAGTTACTCTGAGCTGCCTCCTGGTCCCTACCAGAGTTAGCAGGGTGAAGGCGGCTCCAAGCCCTAAGCAGACTCAAACTCCAAAACTTGTTGAGGTTTGGACCAGAGCAGGGAAGTCTCCAAGGCCTTCTCGGGTTCTGAGGCCGGAGGGGCCTGCGGCTTCCCTATACCGCCCCCGCCTCAACTTCCAACACGAATGCAAAGGAACTCACCTCCCAACCTCTCACCCCCATCCATCCTGGAACCTGTCTGGGATTAGGGACTCTGATCCGGAATAGGGAGGCTGGCTGTCGCGAAAGAGGGCATGGGCGAACGTCTGGGGGACCCTGTCGGGGAAATCCGGAGGAGTCCCAGTCCTCGGACTGGCGCCGACCCGAGTCCTTACCAAGCAGCGGGGACTCCTCGGGGCAAGCGGGCAGCGACAGTGCTGTGCTGGGGGACACGGAAGCCAAAGTCAGGTTGCGCGCGGGGCCGGGCCCGGGGCGAGAGTCCGCGTCCGGGCGGGAGACGCGCCCCGGGCGCGGCTCCGAGGGAGCGCCCCTAGGCAGCGGCGGCGGGGCGCCTGGCGGTCGGAGCTCCCCGGAGGGCTGCCCGATGGCGGCGGCGCCGTTCGAGCCGCCCTGCAGCGATGTGGAGACCCCGACCAGCTGGGGCAGGCGGCTCAGGTCGCGGCCGGCCAGGTAGTACACGAGGGTGACGCCGAGGTGCAGCGCGCAGACGGCCACGAGCAGGCGGCAGGCCCGCTGCAGGGACGCGCCCGGCATCGCGGCGCTGCCGCCCAGGAGCGACTCCCGAAGCTTCATCTTCCCGCCGCCGCTTTAAGAGGGGGGTGGGCTGCGGCGAGGAGGGCGGCCCGCCCGCGGGCCCCCGGCC